CAAACACTAACAAACTGACAAGGTCCACTATCAACCACCATGGCTGAGGTCTCATTCCCACCTAGATGACTGTGAAGTGAGGGAACATTCCCACCTAGGTGACTGAAGTGAGGGAACATTCCCACCTAGGTGACTGTGAAGTGAGGGAACATTCCCACCTAGGTGACTGTGAAGTGAGGGAACATTCATGCCTAGACTTAACGCCTTTCAAAAGGACACAGTTTCGGGCCAGTAGCGGGTTTCGAACTTGAGACCTTTCTGCTGCGAGCCCAACCGTCTAACCAAAGATTCTCTGACAGAGAATCGTTTGTCTCAGCCCCAGATCACCAACGCCACTATAAATAGCTTGAGCACACCCTTTTATCGCCAAACAAGTACAGTCCCCCCTCCCCCCCCCCCCAAGGGTAGTGCTACTACTGACTGAAATGTCTGTAGGCCATTCCCAAAGGGGGGATAGTAACATGTTCTTAGGCACAGTAGAAATGTAAATGGGCTAATGTATCAATGTCATGCTCATACTGTGCCAGAACAACATGGGGGGAACTGCTACTTTTTCTTTCCTCATCCTTTCTTTCGGCCTTTTCCCTCTACTTTTTTCGTATGTTTGTCACTCTCTTGTGACCCGCTATTTCCGGGGTGCCTTGATAGACGAAGCAGACTTTGTGCTGTTGAAGCTAGAGAGGTGAGCAGAGTAAGCCCGATTCCCTTCTGGACTTCTCTGTTGACATCCACCCCTTGGCGCTCATAAATGATCTTAGGCCCTATGCAGTTGCGAGCGCCATAAAACCTTACTAAACTAAACTAAAGTAGTCTAAAAAGTAGATCACATTACAACATACTAGTGCTTCAATTAGTGTTTACAGCATGAATATCCCCCCCACCCCGAAATTTTATTGGCATTTTTTCCCGACCATGTATCGGATTTTTTCCACTCTTTCTTTTCTTTTTTCAAAATAAAGTTTGGGTTTTTGTTTTCAAAAAAAACTGCAACATTGTCCACCAAGAACGATGGAGAGTTTGTCTCAACATCAGAGCTATAAAGCCTTCGGCATGCTCCGCGCCTTTCTGTTTTTTACCCGCAGTATCTATCCGGAGACGTCTCCGACGGAGATAGACCAATCAAAATGCTTTGTGCCTCTAGACCAAGTAAAACAAATCTGGGGCTTACAGAGGAGCATTCGCCCCTGCTTTAACCCATAATTTGGTATTTTGAAGTTAAATTTGAAATTTTCTTGAAAATAATTGATTTGCGACAGTTTTAGTGGTTATATAATTAATATGAGATCTGCAGCAAACAATACGCAGTTTGACCCCCCAAAGCAGTGCATCTGTGTGCGGGAGTACGTCTCCGAATAGTTCCTGGGTGCTCGCCG